TCCTGTCAAATCTGGTATATCACGTGACTCTCGGTAAAAAATGGGTTGTATACGGATACCCTTGGAGGCAATTATGATTGCTTCTGATGTGGAAAGTGGTTGTTATTACTTAAACAGATGTTCTGAAATTATTAGAAAATTCCAATGTTACCTAGTCATATCAGGAACGTATTATTTTTACATGTACAGCATTATTTAATTGAGCAGGTTGCACAAGGGACAGGAGGGGGTCCAGCATTAAAAATGACAGAAAGATATCTTCCCACCTATCATCTAGCAAGCTACGCTTTAGGGTAATTTCAATCTCCATTTGAATCTTGCTGCATGTTTAAATAAAATCAGTGCCGACATCTAGCATACACAATGCTTCAAGCTGAGTGACAATTTTAATGCCATCCCCCAGACTTCTAGGAGCCATGGAGTCTCCACTTCTGTGCCAGCAAACAGTAGAAGTTACACAAGAGGAATTCCTTGTAGTGCAGGTGTGCTCTGTGCACTAAGCATTGCTAGAGGTTGGGAAACCCACAACATCTTAAACATCAGATATGTAATGTGCCCTGGGGTCTTCTCATTATGATACAATCTAGTAATTCTGCTGCTAATCGAGCAATCATTTCTATGTAAATATACAAATATGTCTAATGTTATTACAGCTTGTATTATAACCTGTTTGTTTAGTTACACAGGTAACAAGATTCAGAATCATAAACTCCCTCTACTCATCATCTGCTCCATCTGTGTTAGTGAAGACCATCATCATGTATGTAGGATATTTAGTTATAAAGTCTGATTTAAAGTACCAACCGGTCAGGCTTTGCCCTATGCCCCACTACTTAAAACAACCCAAGCTAGCATATACATTGAGACCGCAAGGGCTCAGATCATACAAAAGTGCAGATAGGGATATCTCCCAGAGAGGCCAAGTCCAATGACGTACTGAGTCTCATGGTATGAAAAGCTCCTCCACTGAGGTGAGAAACATTTCAGCAAATACAGTAGAGGAATACAGGATATCGCATCACATCACTGGAGTGAAAGGAGTGATGGGTAATTGAAGTAAAGTTTGCATCCTTAGTTGAAAGGCCCTTTGGGTTTGGCCAAACTTTTTATTAACAATTAAAGTGGTCTGACAAGAAAAATGCACAAAGCATGTCCTTATATAGTGTGTAATTGCATAAAACCAAAGCACTGAGTGTGATTTCTGTCTGCAGTCTATTTCCTCTGCTATCTGCATAAGTCATTTCTGACAGGCTGTGCCAACTCCAAGGTATCAGGGGGAGCTCCAGAATACAGCCTTTGATTGACAGCTTTAGCTGTGTATGTTTCCCTATGAGATTATGTAGAGGAGGTGTGTCTCTTCTCTTCACTCAGGTCTCAGATTACAATCAGCTCTCTTCTCTGAGCTGTGCAGTATGTGACATCACATCCCCACTCCTTACGTCTGGAAGCTCAGGAAAGCTGTGTAATTCTGAACTTTAGATGGATATAGAGAAGAAATTGCTGCAGATAGACATGTACAACTTATGTAGGATGATGTTTTATCTCTGTGTATCACCTGAAGCTGGTCACTTCAGTGGGAATATGTAAGGGTTTACAACCATTTTAAGGCAAGACCATGTTTTTCAGTAGGTATGGTAGGCAGTGTGGATGTAGGTGCTAGTTCTTGAGGGGTGCTTGCTGTGGCAGATAGCATGGGTGCTTCAAGTGGCATCCTCCAATATTTTCTGCCAGTTGTACCAAGATTCTGGGTGCTTCCCAGTGGCCCTTTCTCCAATATGACTGTGGGCCTCCTCCTTTTGCCCTGCTGTATGTTTTTTGCACCCATTGATGATGTAGTGATGATAGGCCTTTGTACTGAGCTGCTTGCCTGAAGATTACCTTTAAATTGAACCTGTGCATTCCAGGAAAAAAAAACAGGTTCACTGTAGTAATGGCCCCACCAGCTGCATGAACGTAATCTGCCTTTGCTCTCCAACCTCTCCATTAAGGAAAATATCTGGGGCCAGTTTCAACTAAATCTTGTTGTAGCCATAATGATATAATGAAACCATAATCGCTTTGCTATGAATGAGACCAGATGTAGTAGAATCGCATAAATGTAAGCATTTTACTGCCAGGACATGTGGCATCCTGTGTAGGTGCCTCCACAAACACCTGTATGATCATAATATATAAATGTGACTGTTGGAGGAGATACAATCTGATCATTGTCTGACATCTATTCACCGACAGATGTTTATTATGGCTATGTTGCATGTGTTTTCCCTTAACCACTTCAGCTCTCACGTCTATATATCCCTTATGGACCAGTGCAATTTGTTCATTGCTGCTATGGGTCTGTTTATTCAGCAATAACTTCATCATTACCTAAGATAACAGACATACTGTATGTAGTTTTATGCTGCCTAGTTTATAGTTTACACAATCCATAGAAAAAAAAACATAACAAAACAAAAAAAAAATATTGTCTATTTTGATCAGTATTAGTTTAAAAAATGTTTAAATAATGTAAATAAAAGGCATACAGGTGTACCTCGGTTTACGAACGCCTCGGTTAACGTAATTTTGGGTTTACGAATGAAAATCCATTGAAAATAATGCCTCGATTTATGAATTTTTTACACATTTTTTTGCATTACGAAGGGTATGTTGGTGTAAATTTTTAAATGCAATTACCAGCTTTTTTTTTCTTCACTATAGCTCACAAAATTAGCTGTCAGTTTCCCCAGAGCTAAATGATACTTTGTTTCTTTTATCTCATGAAATAAACTAAAAGGAAACATTGTTTCTTTTAACTTGGGAAATAAACTAATAGGAAACTTTCTTTCTTTTAGCTGGGGGGGGGGGGGGGGGAGTGACAGCTATAGTGAAGAAAAAAAAAGAGTCGGTAATTACATTTAAAAAACGGCACTGACCTATAGTGACAGCCACTTTTTAAAAACTTTTTTTTCTGACCTCAGGAACGGATTAATTGGTTTTCAATGCATTCCTATGGGAAACCGTGTTTCGGTTTATGAATTTTTCACAATACGAAATGTCCCGGAGAACGCAATACATTCGTAAACCGAAGTATACCTGTATTTTTTTCTGTAGGTTGTCCTGTTTAAAATGACACTAAAATGATGATTCTGGTACACAGCACTGTTGTTTACAAATATCATCAAAGCATTTTTTTCCCTTCAAAAATAAAAAAAGTTTAAATGTCAATGGTTAGTAAAATAGAAGTAAAAAACAAAGCAGCAATACATCATATACTTGTTAACCTCCACACCGAGCGTACGCAAATATGCAGCCTCTCGTGGCTGGGTCTTGACGACAAGCGGCCGCCTATTTGGGTACCATTTGTAAGCAAATATGTGCTGAGAGCTCCCAGCACATGTGTTGGCATCCCATGGAAAAGTCCCGATCTCTCCTTGCCGTGACAGTCAATTATTGTGGTCACATGACCCTAAACCCTGCTCCGCCTCCCGTCATCAGAAACTCCTTAAAGGGCGCCGGCGTGAAGAGGTTAAGGAGAGAAGGTGAAGATGTTATTTAGGGCTGATTAGGGCAAATACAGGGGTAATAAGAGGTGAAATAGGGCCAATGTTTATTAACCACTGCCTGTTTCCAGGTTGCAAATGCACCCCCCGCTTTAAGTGTAAACAGCAGGAGCCTGTCAGCAAGTGCCGGGCAATGATTCACAGCTGGGACCTGCAGATCAGTCCAATCACAGCCTAGAGCTTTGTGTTGACATTCAACACAGAGCTCTGTACAGAGGGAATAATCTCTCTGGTTCTCATCCCTTAGTCAAAAGCAGCACACTTTAAACACATTACACATAGTTAGGCACAGATTTAACCCCTGGATCACCCCTTCCCAGCCAGTGTCATAACTACAGTGACAGTGTATAGTATTATCACTGAATGTCACTGGTGATGTCAGTGACAGTTAGTCAGTTCCCCCTAGCATCAGTTAGTGCCAGATTGCCCACCGCACTATTGCAGTTCTATTATAAGTTGCTGATCACCGCCATTAGTAGTATTACAAAAAGTACCATTGTTTGTACTATTACTTTCACAAAAAACAATCAATATACACTTGTTGGGATTTTTTTTTTTACCAAAGACACATAGCAGAATACATTTTGGGCAAAATTTATAAAGAAATTAGATTTTTTAAAATTTTGTTTATTGGATATGTTTTGTAGCAGAAAGTAAAAAATAATATATTTTTTTTCAAAATGTTCTCTTTTTTCATTTATATTGCAAAAAAAAAAAAACGTAGAGGTGACCAAATAACACCAAAAGAAAGCTCTATTTGTTTGAAAAAAAGATATATATTTAGTTTGCATACAGCATTGCATGACCATGCAATTACCAGTTAAAGTAGCACAGTGGTTGAATGTTGTCTTTTTTCAATGGCAAATATATAAAATGAAGGAAGAATTGGTATGTTTCGTGGATGTGGCTATAATGGTTCAGCTTCAAGTGTACTACTTGTATTGCATACTTCAGGGTTTCATATGTTGTCTGTATGGAAAAACAACTGTGTATCTATTGCTGTGCCAAGTTTATCTACATTCCATTCGAATGTCATCTTGTTGTAAAAGCTGTTATACTATTTCTTCAAAATAAAGAATTAAAAAAAAAAGTGGCGCAGTGCTACTTTAACCTCCTTGGCGGTATGATTCTTTCCGATTTTTTGTGCTGAAAGCGGTACCATATTTTTGCATGGAAATATGTAGTTTTATATTGTAGGCTGTAATTTTTAGGAATAACTCACTGAAATCTGTACGAACAAGAGTCTATTAAACATCCCGGGTAGGATAAAATTTGAAACATGAAATCATAAATTATAATCATAAAAAATAATAATATAATAATAAATTTAATTCAATAATATAATCAAACCAAAAACACTGAAATTTGAAATACAGAGGCAAATTCGCACATCGCTGAGCAAAGTCGCAAAATCGTTTTCAGTGACTGATGACGAATTTCCCCACGAATCATTATCACTCAATTTTGCAAGTGGTTCTGATTTACTATCGCTGTTCTAAAACTGCTTTTGACGTAAAGGGACGCTTTTTGGACACCATGGACTTTTCTAAGTTTCCAGGCAGAAAGAACAGTCACAATGCAGGCAGGGCACAGGACAAAGCAGTAGGGACAAAATATATGTGAAATGCATGACAGCAAAAATGACATTTTTTAAAAATTTCAAATTTCCCGCCGTACGTCCCGACGTCACAGGGACCGGACAAACACAGAAGCTGGATGCCAGCATCGGCCAGAGGAGATGGCCGGGGACGCTGCAGGGGACACATCATGGGAGCGAAGGACAAGGTAAGTGCTGCAGGGACCCCCTGAGCAACGCCGCATGGTAAGCCCAAGTGTAGCTCGGGGTTACTGCTCTTGGTATAGAAATTTTACCACTAAGGAGGTTAACAGCAACAGCAAAAAGTGGCCTAGTCATGAAGGAGGTAAAATCTTACAAAGATCAAGTGGTTAAAGAAAAAGCAAGAGTAGATACAAAAGTGTAAATATTACTTTGTATCGCTTAACGTGTGTCTGAACAGTGTATATAAAATATTGTGTCAAAAGGTCCATTTTTTACAGCAGCAGCTTTCTAGGTTTCTAAATTTACACAGCAACTTACAACTGTCGTTTTGACTGCAGGGAACTGCCAATAAGTGCAAAGTTCTGCAGCCGGGCAGAAGGATAGGGTTTGCTATACATGCCCTGTGTACTTCAATTACATTTTTTTTTTTTTTTTGGTGAGGATGTGTAACACTCCCAGTGTATATAGAAAAGGTACAAATTCTGGATAGAGTAAATGGTTAGAGCCCCTGACAGTTACTTTTCTTTTTTTTTTTCTTTTTTTTTCTCTTTAGATTTTTTCTTCCTATTCTGAAAATACAACAGAAAGTAAGACAAAAAGGATTTCTTTTTTATTTCTGTGATGGTGACCCCATAAAATTTTCCCATAATTTTTTTTGTCCCAAAGACAATGGTCACCAAGACATATAGTGAAGGTGAATCTGCCCATTACAGCCAAACAGAAATACAGCATAATCCTTTCCCTCTCTATCCAAAACACAAATTGTAGGGTTTAGTTATAATTGAAATGTATAAAACAATTGGAAATGAGTTAGCATTTTTAATGTCAGATATGTTTCAGGCTTTTAGACTGGTATTTCTGACTTGTTTTTAAAAGCAATGTATCATTTTATCAGCCTTGTAATGCATTATTTATCTGTTACTTAACAATACAAACACATAATATGTAAGTCATAGCAGTTGAGTCATTGTTTTTCAGTTGTAATTTATGCCTATTGTACATAAATAAACGTGCTATGAGGTATACATATATAACTGAGCTCACAGCTCAGTGAGTCAAGTAGTCCATAAATTATGCAATTTTCCTTTCTTCCACCATGGATGGAAGCAAAGAAAATCACCCAATTGCCCCATCAACACTGTTCTGCCAGTAGGGATCCTTCCCTACCAGCAGAACGCAATGACTAGTGTTGCCGACTATAGCCACCGGCACTAATCATTTGGAAAAAACCTGAAAGGCTGATTGTACACAAGTTGATAGGTCAGTCTCTGCTGAATTTTCCAAGATTCAATTAATCTATGGCTGGATTTAGAATTTTTAATTTGGCAGAAACTAAATTGTGTGTGTGTGGGTGTCGCGGGGGGTGCTGCCAGAGAATTGCTATAATGTACAAGCATCATGACTTGAATATTATTGCCAACTTACCTCTTCTCCAGCACTGACAGTTCCATGGTCTCCTTCATCACCAGTGCCATTTTCTCTGCCACTTCTTCCAAATGTGCCATTTTCTTTCTTTTGCCATTTAGCAGACATTGATTATGTAACTCCTGCATGTGCATGCTAGAGTTAGATTTACCGTCAACTTACCTACTTCCTTCACTGTGCACATGAAAATAAAACTAGTAAAATGGGGGTAGGCATTTTTGACAGAAGAGACATACCAGGGACACAAGGATCCATTTGAAAACCAACACAAGTGAATATATGATTGGAAGATCGCTTTTTTTTTTATTCACTATACGACGATATTCCTTGAAAAAAGTAGTTACAAAAGTTACCACTTGGTCTCCAATTATTCTTCCTTTGTTGTTGCTTTTGTACTTCATTTTATTTTTGTTGTCACCCCTATTCTTTCCGCAAACTGTCTTTCTCTTTTAATACACCAATCTGCAAAGCCTCTCTGTAAAACGCATTGTTTTATAATGTTACATTCTTTTTGAAAGGTATCCTTTATGGAACAATTTATGTGGGCTCTAATATACTCACTCACCAGTATAGCTTTGATGGTGTGGAATAGGTGGCAACTCGTAGCTAACAAAGTGGTGATACCTGAATAGGTCTTCCAATAGGTTCTGGACACAACCCAAGGTTGCACCAGAAGGTACACAATTCCAAGGAATTCTTAGGTTGGTGTTACGATTTAATTCCACTGGTGTGCCATGGATGTCTCCAGTTGGGCTGCTTGGATTTCCTCAAAAAGGCCCATCCAGGAAACTGATAAAAGAAGCCTAAATGACCTCAGACTCTTTCTCTTACAGAGCTTCTACTCTAGTTACCTCCAAAATAATCGCTGACAGTGTAAACTCACCATCAGTTTATTGCCCAGTCTTGAACCCTATAGAAGTGTTTCTTTCAATGTATTTGATATCTATACTGTATATGGATTCTAGGCATGTGCCTTTTATTTTGTCAGTTACAGACAGACAAATGACTCTATAGGATCAGACTTGCAAAGTACTAACATTATAAATATTTTCCACATTCCCAGCATTACTAAACAGGGGGCCCCATGTCTTTCTGTCACTTCTGTCAAATCAAGGAATAATTCATGTGTGTGCCTGCCATCAGAAAGTATGATGTACAGCTCTTACAATGTGTTGGGTATACTGTATGTCATAAACTGTACAAGATTCATGTTTTCAGTGTAATATTATCATATGCTCCCTTTTTCCTGGATACCTTTATGTAGGCATATTTGAAAAATAATGAAAAATCCGCAAAGTGCAACAACAGTAGCAATCAGAATGAGCTTTTTTAATTTTTTTAATTTAGAGCACCTATAACAAGTATGAAATGCTTATTCAAAATCTAAATTTATTGGGGTAGATTTACTAAAAATGCAGCTTGCAAAATCTGATGCAACTGTGCACAGAAACCAATCAGCTTCCAGGTTTCATATTCAAAGCTTAATTGAACAAGCTGATGTTAGAAACTGATTGGCTACAATGCACAGCTGGACCAGACACTGAGTGCACCAGTTTTAGTAAATCTCCCGCATTACGTCACCAACATCACCATCACTAGATTTCAATTTACCTTCTCATAAAATCTTGTAAAATTCAACCTGTCTTTTTTAAACCCATGCTGATTTTCTGCTATTAGATTATTCTTTACTATATATTTTATATCATTGTTTCAACTACTTTATAATAATTTACACACAAGTCAGGCGTATTGGATTATAGTTTGCAGCTTTGTTGTTATACCTTTCTTTAATAATAATGTAACATCATGTGCACACCAAGCAGGGCCGTGGAAGGGGGTACCACCAGTCCTCCTGTATGGAGCCCAGGCCAGCAGGGGGGCCCAGACAGCTGTGTGAATCAGATGTGGGCAGGGAGGGTGATCAGCACAGCTGGGGGGCAATTAATGGAACCGATCCCCTGTATGGTTCTCTCTGCAGAAGCTGAAAGCTGGCTTCTACTCTTATCCCTCCCTCTGGCTTTCAGCTGCTGCAGAGAGAGCCATACAGGGGATCGGTTCCAGTAACTGCCCCTCTGCCACACCCATCACCCTCCCTGTACACCATACATTTCCCCCTGCTGCTCATGCCCCCTTGTGTGCCCTCACCCCTGCAGTGCTGCTATCTTCCCTGCTCTCCTTCTCACAGGCAGCTGCAAGTACACAATAGGATCTGTCAGGATGAGGAACGAAGGGTCTGGTAAAATATGTCACATTTATCAGCCCCTTCCTTCCCTGAATGAACACAGTTAATGATCAAAACATTAACAATAACGTATAAAGCCATTTATAACTCTGCCCCAAATTATGTCACCGATCTTGTCTCTAAATATCACCCAAACCGTACTCTCCGCTCCTCGCAAGACCTCCTACTCTCTACCTCCCTTGTCTCCTCCTCCCATGCTCATCTCCAGGACTTCTCCAGAGCTTCCCCCATCCTCTGGAACTCTCTACCCCAATTTATCAGACTATCGCCTACATTGCTCACTTTTAGGTGATCTCTGAAAACCTATCTTATCAGGGAAGCCTATCCTGTCCTCAGCTAATAATGGAATCTTCTACTCTTCCAACCAGTCCATCCCCCACAGTTACTACCTTTTCTACAACTAGCCCCTCCCTCCTAGATTGTAAGCTGTATTGAACTGTATTGTTGCTGTATTGTCTCCCGTTATATTGTAAAGCGCTGAGCAAGCTGTTGGCACTATATAAATCCTGTATAATAATAATAATAATAATAATAATGATGATCAGTACCTATCACACCCTGTGTTAATTCATAACTGAAGCATAGTAAACTGTGTACTTATTTTTAGGGGGGGGGGCTGTCAGGTTGGCTGTATGGGGCCCTGTGGTTTCTAACAGCAGCCCTGACACCAAGTAGAGCAGCCCATAGATTATGTGATTTTCTTTCCTTCTACCTCAGGTGGAAGGAAAGAAAATTGCTTGGTTCCCCCATTAACACAGTCAGTGTTGATGGGGGATCCCCTCCAGCAGCGCTAGGGAGCCTAGCCCAGCCAGCAGAACACAGTGATTATTGCTAGCGGCTATAGCCACCGGTGAACCAACTGAGTTTTGAGCCTTCTATGGCCAGCTTGAAGTAGAAGTATAGGAAGAATTTTTTTAACTCATTTTGGATAGTGCAAGGGAGAGTGATAACACCTGTCAGGTTTTTTTTTCACCATCTGTGTCTCATTGCAGAAATTTTCCTTTCACTTCCTGTCCCTTAGCCAAACAGGAAGTGAGAGGAAATCCTTGCAAATTAGGGGAATTCTTTGGGCAACCTCAGGTCACCAGAACTAGTGTTCCCATTGGAAGATTTCCCCTCTATTACTTTTCTGGGGACAACCCAAAATTTGCGATTTTCTTTTACTTTAATTTACAATGATAATGGTAAACAGGACAAATAGGGTGAATCTCCTTAACGGTGCCATA